TGTGTGCCATTCCCACGTCTGGAGTAAATCGAGCGCCACCCGCAGCTGGTTCATCCCCCGATCACATGGTCACATTATCCCCCAAGTTCATCAATCCAGTGCCGATAGATTTCGCTGAGCTTGGTGCGGCAATGACCCCGTTGTCAATCGTGAACACAAAGTGTGATAGATGCACTAAGTGAACAAGTGTGACAGATACACTAAGGGTGAACACGAAGTGTGATAGATGCACTAAGTGAACAAGTATGATAGATACACTAAAGGTGAACACGAAGTGTAATAGATGCACTAAGTGAACAAGTATGATAGATACACTAAAGGTGAACACGAAGTGTGATAGATGCACTAAGTGAAGAAGTGTGATGGATACACTAAAGGTGAACACAAAGTGAGATAGATGCACTGAGTGAACAAGTGTGATAGATACACTAAAGGTGAACACGAAGTGTGATAGATGCACTAAGTGAACAAGCATGATAGATACACTAAAGGTGAACACGAAGTGTAATAGATGCACTAAGTGAACAAGTATGATAGATACACTAAAGGTGAACACGAAGTGTGATAGATGCACTAAGTGAACAAGTGTGATGGATACACAAAAGTAAATGTAGTGTGATGGATACACTAAGGTGAATGACCTTAAACGAAACTTCTTTAAATGAACCATACATACAATATCGCCTGGTTGCGCTAGTTTCAAAAGAACCGTACATACAATATTGTGCATGAATGAGAAAGAAACTTGATAGGTACAATGCGATATAATGTATGATGTTTAAGGAATACAATAAACAAACCTAGCGGCGCTTTAGAAAGCACCTCATGGGGTGAGTGGCGATGAACCTCTCTACTCTGATGGGGATCTCCCCTCGTGCTCTTCGAACACTTACCTTCAACTTACAATACAAAGGCTCTGAAATACTGACAAGGGTTCTTCACATAGAACACTTTGGGTGCTGCCTTTCTTCCTGATCATATCCACAACTTTCCCTATTCTCCAACGGGGTGACAGACTAGGTTGGTTCAGTATCCAGAATTGAGGTGCATACACGCTATCTCAACCTATGGGGCTTCCATACAGATTTCAAGCCGAGGACACGCCTTTGGGTATTTAAACCAGACTTTAGTCTCGAAAATCCCGAACCTTTACGTTCTAGGCAACAGCCATTTGAACTCTAGTTTCCACCGTCGCAATTGGTCTCCTAGGAACTCATTGCGAACATAGCCAAGATGCCTCTGGAAGGGAATGGTACTCAGGGAGAGCACTTTTGATTGCCATTCTGGCTTGAAGCAAACTTGATCTTGAGCTTGAGGTAGAGGCACACTCATACTTCGGAGCATTGGCAAGACCTGAAGAGGTACACACGAAATGCAATCTCGGAACTTACTGAAGTTGAAACAAACTCAAATACCCTACATTTTCCCTCTTTTCTTTTGCTTTGCAGTCTGGAACCTATATAACTTCAGATATGTACTAGTTTTACTGTTCCCGCATGACCTGGGTTGAACCCTGCGATTTTACGAAAGAACGAATTTTGTTTTGCACAGATGTGGAGAACGACACGGCACTCAGAGCGCAAAACGATTTTATTTTCGAAATTGAGAGATAAGTTCTTGACCGGGGTATTGAGCCTATGACTGAACACAGCGCACTACGACTCAACAATGGAAAACAAAAGGTAAACAACCTAAACACATCGAGTAACACTCGAAACGACTCAAAACAAGAATCGAGATAAACAAAACACACACACAACACTCAGATGTGCATAGGGAGCCTGTTTCTTCGGGTATGCTTCCTACCCTTCCTTATTTGTGATTCTCACATCACTCGGCCCTCAGGCTCTGTTTTTCTGAAAAGCCTTTTTCTCTTTTTTTCTCACTTTTTCTCTCAGCTCACATCTCTCTATTCTTTAA